TATACCCGAGTCACGAGCCGGGCTGGTCTAGTCTAGACCTGGGGTCAGAGAAGTTGGTCTGGTCCATGCCCGGCCTGGCTCGACCCAGCCCAACTCGCCCGGGCCTATGATATAATTTTTTCATTAGGCTAGATGTCAACAAAGCCAAAAGGCCATAGGTTTTTGGCTTGTAGGTGGCCTATTGAGAAACAAAGCAACGATATTTAACCTCGCTGCTATCTACTTGGAATGATTAAGAAATTTAATGTAAGTTTAAAATTAGTTTAATACAAGTTTAAATTACTAAAAAATAGACTAGAAATAATTTTGTAATGTAAATATAAGTATAATATAATTAAAACGTGAAAAAAGAAAAAAAGGTTAGACGAAAACCTCATGGGCAAGCCCATGAGTCCATGACCCATGGGCAAGCCCATGACCCATGGGCCGATCCACAACCACGGCCGTGGGTTAGGTCAGACCTAGCCCACACCTAGGCGGGTCATGGATCGAGCTAAGTCCAACGCCAGACTTGGGATCAGAGAAGTAGGTCAAGCAGTGTCTCGACCTGACCGGAAAGATAAGTCAATCGGTTCGGAAAGTGGTAGAGTACCTGTTGTCGCTCAACCGACTGTCTTATCCCGGTTTTCTCTCTCTAATTGAATGCCTGCCCTCGGCATGGGCACGTCATTGTACCCATTATGACCTGATCAGACTCAGCCCGACCTTGAACCTGACCGGCCGTCTCACACCCACCCCTACCCAAATCTACTTCTACCAGTCCCGGATATTTATCTCCAACAGTTTCTAATAGTACATCCTTCTAATCTTTGGTATTTTCAAAATAATTCTTCGAATTATGGTCAAACCACAAATTGTACCTTTCTATTTTATTTCTGTTAATGAGTAACATAATGAAAATACTAGCTACGATCTACCGTCTTCTTCGTTCTCCTTCAGAAAACACATAATTATCTTCCATCCACTTCTTATCGAGGAGAGTTTTCTTACTGTTGGTGGTGGTAGTATCTCTATGCTGCACTGAGTTGCGGACGGTTTTGCAGATAAACACAAGTAGGGGCGTGAAAAGATACCTGTATCCGTGGATATATTTATATTTGTATCTATTAGATACTAAATATTTATATTCGATTACAAATACGTGATATGTAGCGAAATATATATCTGTATCTATATCTTAAATATCCAAATATATCCAAATATATGTTAATCAAACAATTGAAATTATTTTGGCCCTTAGATTAATGAATGTGAGGTTAATTGTGATGATAAAAAGATCTATAACCAACATATTGCCGAACACACGAAGCGGCCAAATGAAGAACAAACTTGAATCCTTGTTATCACTCCAATGAATGTTGAGTCTAGTCATGTGTGTAGACCTAAACCCGATATTTAAGACTAGACAATAATAAAATTTCCTCAAAAAAGAAAAAAATAGTAATTGGAAAATCATTTAAAATACATTTGAGCTCTAACTTTTGCTCATACCAGATAGTTTTCTTAGAATGATAACAGCATACATTATGCTTTATGTTTAGAGTCACTTATCTCATATTACAACTTTTACAACACAACAGAGTTCAGAACCACACAATATTAGCTAGGCACACGTACATACTTGCACATAAAGTTCTTCATTTTTCATGTACATATCAATCTCCGTCGTCTCGGTCTTTGTTTATCTCGTCCAGAATCACGATGAGAGCAACGATGAAGGCATAGTCGACATTTGGATACACCGTCACACCAAAAGTGTCCTTACCCAGAAGCACACTTCCAACTGTGTGGTGTTTTTTCATCTGCATAATACAATTTCAAATCTCTCATAACCAATTAACTCAAGTTAACATAGATCTGTGGGTTAAGTGCACAGTGCCTTGTTAGTATCACACTTTGGGACTTATTATCGGTATCTGTCTGATTTTGGTAGATACACCATTTGCATGTTTTTTTTTTCCTTGACTAGTTTACTCTTAGGTACATTCATCAATTTTTAACCAAGGGTAGTATCTGTCAAAATTTCACCCAGGGTAAAAGTGTCAAAACTTTTCACCCGTAGAGTCTATTTGACAAAGGCTTATAAATTCCAGAACACAATACCACCGATTCTATGTGCAAAAACCAGAGATTTGTTATTAAAAAAATTTATTGCTGCTCTGTTTACCTGAGCTACAATGGTATTGCAATCTCCGAGATAAATGGTGCAGGATCTCTCAAAGTAGCTTCCTTTGATCTTGAAGTCGCAAACTCTCTGGCTTGTGTTTGATGCCAAGAATACATCAAGCTGTGTCCTGAACTGCAGCAGAGAGGATTTCTTGACACTGAAGAGCTGATCTTTGGAGTCCGAGCTGTCTCCTCTGAACACTTGCCATCTTCTGTGTGCAGACAGTATCTACGGGAAAGAATATGTTGTCATATAACAGAGGTCGGTAAACTACTACTAAATTTGAACTTTCTCACCTTTAATTTCAAGGGGTGTTTTTGCAGAATATATGGCTAAATATAGCATAACGCCCTCAACTTTGGATGGTTATATATCAGATAACCTCCATAACTTTGAAAATATTAGAAAAACCCCCTTTAAGTATGGGAT